TTTTTCTAATTAGGTAGATGTCCAGCTTCATCTACATGGACCACTATGGCGTTGGAAGTCCTATGGTGACGGACGTCAGCTCGGTGTTCGCTGATCCTGGTGCTGAAGCCACGGCCTGTTTCTCCAAAGTATGCTGTGTCGCATCTGCTGCAGGGTATGCGATACACAGAACTGTTAGTGTTGTTTTCAGGCTGCTTTTTCTCCCGTATCATGTCATGTATCTTATTCCCGGCTGTGCTGGCGATTCTCATTGTGTTGCCGAAGTATCTGCTGATCGCCTGGGAAACGTTGCATGACGGTAACGTGAGAAAACCATTAGAAGAAGGTGCAGGATCAGATCTTGTGAGTATATTCTCTGCCTTCTTTCTGAGGTTCAGTAGGAAGCCTTTGGGGTATTTATGTTTCAAGAAGAAATCAATTATATAAGCAACCTCATCATCGAGGAATTCAGGGCTGCAGATCCTCAGTACCCTGAGGAAGAAAGCCGATTACAACACCAGAATTTGTTTTGTTACTGTGGGCGGAGTAGTAATGGATATAATCGTCTTTATTTGTAGGCTTTCTGTCAAATACATCTCTTGTATTGTGAAGATACTCATTCTCATTCATACCTTTTCTACATCTGTCTGTATATATATATATATATATATATATATATATATATATATATATATATATATATATATATATATATATATATATATATATATATATGTATATATACATATATATATATATATATATATATATATATATATATATATATATATATATATATATATATATATATGTATATGTATATATACATATATATATATATATATATATATATATATATATATATATATATATATATATATATATATATATATATATATATACACACACACACATATATATATATGTATATATATATGTATATGTATATATATATATATATATATATATATATATATATATATATATATATATATATATATATATATATACACACACACACCGTAATAGATATAACAACAGATTTATTGGTGGTGGTAGTAGTAGTAGTAGTAGTAGTAGTAGTAGTAGTAGTTGTTGTTGTTGTTGTTGTTGTTGATGTAGTAGTAGTTGTAGTAGTATTAGTAGTAGCAGTAGTAGTAGTAGTAGTAGTAGTTGTAGTTGCTGTTGTAGTAATAGTTGTAGTAGCAGTAGCTGTTGTAGTAGTAGTAGTAGGAGTAGTAGTAGGAGTAGCAGAAGTAATAATTGTAATGGCAGCAGTAATCGTAGTAACAGTTATGGTAGTACTTGTAGCAGTAGTAGTATTAATAACAGTAGTAATAGTATTAATAACAATAGTAGTAGTTGAAGTAGTTGTTGTTATAGTAACAGTAGTAGTAGTAGTAGCAGCATCAGCATCAGTAATAGCAGTAGTATTAGTAGCTGTTGTTATACTAGCAGCAGCAGTAGCAGCAGTAGCAGCAGCAGCAGCAGCAGCAGTAGTAGTAGTAGTAGTAGTAGTAGTAGAAGTAGCATTACCAGAAACAGAAATTGTATCATGTTTATAGAAATAGTATCATTAGTAGTATTGCTATCGTTTTTGCTCTCATTAGAAAAGATAACAATAATAAAACATCATTGTCTATATAATGTATTCTTTATCTTACGTCAAATGTATGAATTTACCTAATTTGTAAAAAAAAAACAGAAAAAGGAAAAGAAAAAAAAAACATAGAGAAAGAATACTTATTTGATTTTGTTGCAGTGTCTTTTAACTTTTTGGTGGAGAGTAACGACCCAAAATCCTGTCCCTCCCAATTAAGACGTCCCATTTCCTCACAAAACTGTACATTAATTGGTCGTCAGATTATGAAACGACCCTCATGCATTTTTGACTAGGAAAATGACGTAACTAATGATGGTCAGTTCCATCTTATTAAACAGACACATTATGTTTTCATAAACGATGGATAATGCGGTGAACCAATTTTGGGTCGCCACTCATAAGGTGAGAAATGTTGTCTTTACAATGCCTGGTATTAAGTAAACATAATGTACATAGAGTCACTGTATATATACATATACTGGTTTACATGTATATACAGAGTACACATATAAACACACGTGTATATATGTAAGTATATATATATATATATATATATATATATATATATATATATATATATATATATATATATATATATATATACATATACACACACACACACACACACACACACACACACACACACACACATATATATATATATATATATATATATATATATATATATATATATATATATATATATATATATATATATACATGTACATATATACATACATGTATATATATATATATATATATATATATATATATATATATATATATATATATATATATATATATATATATATATATACATGTATATATATATATATATATATATATATATATATATATATATATATATATATATATATATATATATATATATATACATGTACATATATACATATATGTATATGCAACCACACAAATACACATAGAGCCACTCCCTTTGTGTCGGTTCTGTGCGATGAGATTTGCAGAGGCCTCGTTTGACCTCTTCAAATACGCACACCGAGCCCCCTTCCCCCCCCCCCCCCCCCCCGCCCCATTTGTTTCAGGAGGCCAATCCCCAGGGTAAGAAGGGCTTGTATTCTCGGTCTAGCGAGGCGACGCCGTTCTAGCTGGTGGCTTTACAGACAAATACATTTCTAAAGTATCTTTCCTTGACCTGGCTTTGCGTTTACCATCCGGCAGTGGACATCCCGCCGTCGTTTCTTCCGCAGCCTCTCCGTCACGTCCCGATGTCTATGTCGATGAACTCGCTGGTCGACACCACCTTGCTCCCCGGGGGCGCCGCGAAGGAGGACGAGGCGTTGGGCGTGGCCAGGGGCGTGCTCGTGACGTCAGACATCGCCACGGTCGCGTCCGAGAGGCTCCTGCACTCGTCCTGGTCGACGCTGCTGTCCTTCGCGTCGTCGCTGGCCTTCTTCAGGGACTTGACGCTGCACCTGACCTTCGAGTAGGTCGAGGAGGACCTCCTGACCATGCTGGGACCCTTGACCTCGCCGTTGGAGTTGACCCCCAGCTTGCGGAGCTTGGCGGAGGTGCGGGAGTAGGAGACGGCGATGAGGATCAGAAGGACGACCGAGAGGAGGATGCACACGACCATGAGGGCTTGGTTGGTCTGAGCGACGGAGGAGACGCCGAAGGAGTCGGAGTCAGACGTCAGAGAGGAGGCGGTAGAAGGACTGACGTCACTGGTCACATCATCCGGAACTGAAAAGCGGAAACGTTAAAAAAAAAGCTTGAAAATAGAAAAGAAAGTGAAATAATAATAAACAGTAATTCGAGAAAAAATAGAAACATATATAAGAGCAACAAACAATAATCTCCATAAAATAGGCACAACTCTGAGCGAAGACAAATACTAGATCGAAATAGAAAAAAAACAACAACAACACACCCTCGACCACGCCCCCCTCACTCGCCAAGGCATCCTGAAGCAGCTGAAATCGAGGATCACACAAGGTCAAGTACCCTCCGCCCTCGACCTCCCCTTCGATGACGCCCATTTTGCTCAGCGTGTTGTAGGACTCGAGAGAACCTACTGGCTTGCCGTTCACGAGGGCCTGGGGAAGGAGATGGGAACGAGATGAAGAAAAGAGAGAGAGAGAAAAGAGAAGAAGAGAGATAGAAGGATGTCCATGCTATTGGCAGTAGATGAAAAGAAGAGACGAAAAATAAAGAGAGGGAGAGAGAGAGAAGGACAGAGACAGAGAGACGGACAAAGAATGAGTCAGTGTGAGACATAGAGACGGATAGAGAGAGAGACAAAGAGAGAATAGCAGACAGACAGAGCCAGAGGGAATAGAGACAGACAGACAGACAGACACAGACAGACAGAGTGAGACATAGAGAGGGACACACACACACACACACACACACACACACACACACACACACACAGAGAGAGAGAGATGAACAAAGTCAGACAGACAGACAAAGAGAGAGAAAGAGACAGAAAGATAGAGAGAGAGATTGAAAGACTAGTAAGTCTATTGATTTCTCTGCCCATTTAAGAATGAGGAGAGAGAAGAGAAAACAGGAGAATGAAGAAACAAATATAATTAGAAGACATAGTAAAGAAGGAAAGAAACAAGAAATAAAGAAAAGGTAAAAGGGATAGAATAAAGAGAAAAAAAAGGGAAAGAAATCTGAAATTAGAATGATGGAAGGGAAAGAAAAGAAAATAATGGAACAGATAAAAACAGAGAGAAAGATGGAAGAAAAAGAAAGTTAATACTCACACACACACACACACACACACACACACACACACACATATATATATATATATATATAAGACGAAAACCTCCATGATATATCAATCTGGGTTTCCATGCACACACTAAGATTACAGAAGATGTCCTTGTCACTCACCCCTATCGTGTCCTCCTGAGTATTCCAAACGACCGTGATGTTCCCCCAGGATCCCTCAGGCACTCCCTTCAGGTCCTGCGGGGTTATTGAGAGGGAGGAGAGCTGAGGCTTGAGCGTCTTGGGTAAGTAGGAGAAGGAAAGGTTCTGGAAGTTCTGGTCCTTCAGGAGAAACACGGTGTGGTGTCCCTGGGGCGTGGTCACTTGGGTTTCCTTCAGGCATCCTGGGTAGTGGGGGAGGGAAGATATAGGGAGGGAGGGAGGGAAGGGAAGGGAGGGAGGGAGGAAAGGGAAGGGAGGGTGAAATTGGAAATGGAAGGGAAGGAGGGAGGAAGGAGAGGTAGGGAGATGGAGGTAAGGAAGGAGGGGAAGGGAAAGGAAGAGGAGGAAGGAAAGGGGAAGATAGGGAAGTGGGTAAAGAAAGAGAGAGGGTGGAGAACAGGAAGGAAAGAAAGGAATAGAGAGGAGGAGAAGAACAAGAGGAGGAAACAGCGGATAGAAAGAATTACATGTGAATAAACACCGAAAACTTTAT